TAATCGAACTGATCAACGTATGGCTGGAAATAATTTGCCGGATTACTGGCAGAATTAAGAGAAGCGAAAGCTGGATGTGGAGTAGTCTCGTGATAAGGCTGTGTGATACAATTTAGATATCGATCTTTCATCGTCGCGAACCTAAGTCTTCTATCGAGTTGCCTCTTAATACTTCCGTGGAAACTTTGGACCCAAGAGAATTAGAATCTAATCTCGCTACATACTATACAAAGTCTGGCTGATAGAATATTGTTGTTCCATGTACAAACAGGAAAGTTACGATGGTATCGGCTATTACGATGTTGGATGCTTAGGATTTTACGAATATGTACAAGTACGTTCATCTTTGTTATTCTTAGTCCAGCCATCTTCTTATTTAGTATACGTATGCAGATCAGATGTACTCGCGAACAAAATATTAAACAGGCAATCGTAAATAGGAAGTGCGTGATAGAAAAGTTCATCGATCCGTTATTTATCGACTGATGAAGATAATTGAGAGAGAGTTGGAGATTTCGAATTTTTTCTCTCTTTTAGTTTAGCATTGATATTCTGAATTTTATTTCGATATTAAATAGTTTCTTTTGGATATCGCTTTTCAGCTGCGATTCAGAATAAATGGCCAATAGGAATTTTGCCTCGTCTTAGGTTAGAAGTTAGAAGAAGATTGGAAGCTAAGAAATATACATTGGGAACCGCGAGAATCAGAAAGAATGTTAAACTTTGAAATAACTAGACTCGTCGGAATGGTCTCTGGAATTTTGTATCGAAATTTAGGAAACTTTTACCTATAGCGGAAATTCTTGCACGTATCTAATGTTGGAAATTTGAACCGTGAAGAAAACTGTGGCGAGAAACGATTGTTCAATTTTCGACTTAACCACGTGCCTGTGCGTGCCATAAAATTCCCTAGAACTGATACGAAAATCCCTAAAACTGGGAACTCTGGAAATCCAAACAAGTTAAAACATTGCTAACATCCAACGTCGAAAATGAGTTAGAAACTTTGAGAATCTGGATATACCGAATTTCCACGACGTTACGGAAACACGATGGAAAGTAAATCATTTAATACGTGGACATTTAAAAACGCGTTGTATCCCACGAATACCGAAATGACCAAAGCGCAAAATAAAACCGTCGCTACGATACCCAATTTCCCGTGATCGAACAACCTGCCAGTTTTAAATGAAATGTTACTCGCAATTTAGAATTAAAATCGCCTGCGTAATGAAATTGGAAAGCTCATCCAAAAGTGAGATCGATCGACTATGACTTCCGTGGGGGCTCGTATACCAAAGAGAGAGACGAAAGAGTACTAGAAAGGAAAAAGATGGGAGAGAAAGAGAGCGTATGTGTCACCCAGAGCGCATAGAGGGTGGCAGGGTGTTACGGCTGGGTAAGTCCAAGGTTGTCAGGGCTACGACTCTCGAAACACACTAACCGACCGCCATCTTTGCTTCTCCTGCGTGGTGCTGCGTGGGTGTATCCGAGCGTGAAGAGAGCGGGGACGTAGGGGGTGAGTGGGGGGAACGATAGAGAGAGGAGAGCGAGAGGAGAGCTAGGGAAAGAGCGAGCCTGGACGACAACGATGACGACGACGATGACGACGAGCTACTCGCTCGAAGAGACGAGACGAGTGAAGAAAACGAATGGTAGGGGGAGGGGGAAGGTAGAGGAAGATGAGAGCATAGAGAACCGAGGAAAAGGTGGAAATATGCGTAAAGTGAATTTATATGTACGTCGTGTAGGAATTACATCGTATAAAAGTTTATTCGTGTGGAAAAATATAAAATGTCCTGGCAATGTTCTATATAGAGGAACGTTAATGTCTAACGTTATGGTAATGCTAGGTGTATAATAATAAACAGACTGCGGATATCTATGCGCAGATTCGTATCTTCGGCAAGATGATTGAGAAAATATAACCTAGATAGAGCATTGTCCGACATGTTGACTATTCTAATGGATTTCAGATTTTTATATGGTTCTTATATTTTACACGTTACGTGTAATTTCGGGTGTTTCATGTAGTTTTTGTTATTACGTGCATGTTATATATATGTTTGCATTTTTCAGTTTGTCGTAGATGCAGAAAAACCCGCGGACTGACGATTTGAGGTTAGTCTTGATAGCGACTGTTCTAAGTAATATGTACATTGTTTTTTTAGCCTAGTCTTGTATATACGTATACTATTGCCGTTGAAAGTAGTAACAAGTTAACAGCAAAGCAAAACATTCCCCGGATGAAATACGTGGAACTTTGTTCGTTATGTTCGTCGTCATAAATCTCTTTACTTCGTGATTCACGAAGCTTGATAGAAAGGAAATAAAAATTCCTACCGCCGATTCAGCATCACGCGACTACATCGGCGTCGATTTTTTCGACGATCAGTATCGCAGCATGAAATTGAGGTAAAAGTTTTAAGGTTAGGTTTAATCACGACACCGATCCAAAAGGCAAGGACAATAAATCAAGCAACCTAAAAGAAACGCAACAGCGATATAGGTAGATGCTACGTAAACTCATAACCTCAAAAAATTCCAAAGTCTCCACACAGCATCCCTCGACATGATTCGGTCTCGAAGCAAGAAATTTCACCTAGGAAGGATGGTGCAGAGGCCATTGACAAGCTACGGAAACGTCGAGTTCATTGCCTTCTTTTTCAAATCTATCGGGTAAAAGAACCTTTTTAAATCCCAGCGTTTAAAAACTCGCCTTTCAGGAAGGCAAGTAAATATCACGACAGGCATATGTATATAACGAAGGAGAGAAAAAGAAAAAATATGTATATATGTAACGAAACAGAGAGAGAGAGAGAGAGGGAAAACGTTCTGAAATACGAGCGAGAGATAGAGAAACGAGGAGAAAAGGGGACGCGTAGCAGAGAGAGGGAAGTTAGTGGAGCGAAGGAGAGGGGAACGAGATAAAAGCTCTGGACAGATGAGAAGCGGCCAATGGCGGGCATCTCCCCCACCAATGCTTCAGCGCAGCATCACTATGATTCGTAGGAGGCGCCGGTTGGCGGAAGTGCGCATGTACGCCCTCGATGGACTGACACTGCTCCCTTTTCCACGACTCCCTGCAACATGAACTCTCTCGCAGGGGGTGCATTGCGGATACAGGGCGTGGCGCACGGCCCTTAAAGAAAGACCCTTTCTGCTCAATGGCGATACCGTTTTGTATCTTATCGCTGAAAAATTATTCGAGAAACATCTCGATGCCGAGATTGACAACCGAAAGGAATTGATTACAAGCGAATTTTTGTTCATTTGCGATATCTTCTAGACGTTTTATTTTGTTTCTTCTGCCCTATTTCTAGTTTGGCGCTGGCTGGATTTCACGTTAATAAAGATAGCAAACAGCGACTTATAGGTGAGGTTAGGTGAACATTAATATATATAATAATGATAGAGATGGTTTATCTACTTTGTATAGTAGAGGTTAGGTGAACTTTTTCTTAGAAATCTTGCTTTATTTAACCGAACCATGACAGTTTATTGGATGCAGTTTGACGATGGTGGGGATGATTTATCTACAGTTGAGGTTAGCTGAACAGTTCTTAGAAATCTCTGTTTTCTTTGACCGGATGATGACAGGTTATTGGATGAAATTCGATCTAACGATGATAGAAAGGGATGATTTTCCTACAGTTGAGGTTAGGCGAACATTTTTTAGAAATTATGATTGCGATGAAAATATGGATTCGCGTTATCGTACATTGGCAACCGAACATCCAAAGTACGAGTACCTAAATTAGAACTTGATGGCAGACTTGAAGGTTGCACAAACAGAGCAACGTTGTTAACAATTTTGATTTTCGTTGGCAAGTTTGAGGAAATTATTCGATTTTCGAGTAATCTTTTATTTTGAATGAAATTTCTCTATGGAACGAAGAACGCTGTTTAGTATGAAAAATATTGACAAAACTCGAACACAGCGAGATCGAATGTCTTTCACTTGGCACGAAATTTGAAATTATCAATGAAAACCTGTGTCATTCGTATTTGTTCAACAATTACCAAAAGTGTTTTCAATTCGATTTGATTCTTCGATCGAATATACGATTCGAAGAATACTTCCGGTTCGAGGAATACGTAACACAAATCAGTTTTCGTGACCGAAGGCCGATCAGCGGTCAATATTCCTAAATATTTCTTTAATAAACCGGCAACGTTCATAAATCGATTTCACAACATCGTTTCGTCACCCGTCAACATTTTTCTTCGATCATTTTCAATTTTCGCTCTCTCGATCGTTTCCGCGTCCAACGATCGAAATCTCTGATAACTTCGAGAAACAAATATCGATAACGAAACATCATTGTCGATCGAAAATCGTAGAAAATCTGACGAACGATCTCGTAAAGAATATCTTCGCACTGATCTCTCGACAAACAACGCGTAACTTTCAACCTTACGTTCGATCGCTTTAGTCCAATTTCGCGCTTAACTTCTTCTCTTCGTAACATATTATACAATTTTTGAACATTGTAAATTTGCCGCCAATTTTTATCATCGAACACGTTTACTTGTTTCCGTTTACATAGATTTTTCTCTCGCGAGTTCGGTCCACGGAAACTGAAAATTACAGTGAACGGATCGACAAACTGATCGAATTCGAATAAACGAAAATTACGAAACGATTTATTTCCATCGAAGAGAACGATCGTTTCGGAGAATCGTCGAGAATAATGGAATCTTTGGTCGAAGACACTTTGCAGAAGTTCTGTTCGACATAATCGACGTAGGAGCGTTGTCATCGTTTCTAACCATGGCGTACGTTTCTCTGAACTCTGCTGAATCAACAACAACGCGAACGTAATCGAAAAAATATTGTCATTCATCGAAGCGCGACGATTAAAAGAAGAAGAAACCTTATCGATCTTCTACGCTCCGACTGGAAGAAACGTCCCACGCCTCTTCTCTTCTTCTTCTTCTTCATATCTGTAAAAGAAAATTCTTTCTTCGTACGAAACGAATTAAATGGAACCTTTTTTATCTTTGCTGTTAGAAATCGTCGATGGTCGAAAGTGTCGTAAGTTTCGATCGACAGGTGGAAGTGGCCGGGGAAGAAAATAGAAATCGGTTTTCGTGGTTGACAGAGCCTCGTAACCATTGGTCTCCGATCGGCGATCGTTAGAAATGGAAAGCAGCTGGATTTCCACTTGTCAGGACGGACGGATCTGTTCCGAATTTCACCAGACTCGCCTGCTCCGTGTCTCTCCTCGATTTCATACGCCACCGATATTTATAGCGGACAGTCAACTGATTTATATTATTTTCTAATCTCTTCCAATTTTCAATATCGGACAGTTGCAACTACGTGAAATTTTTCACTCGAATTCCTAAACAGAGTTAGCGGCCACCTGATCGTTCGCGTTGTCTTCTCTCGTTTCACGTGACTCCTCGTCGCACTTTTTTCGCTTTTTACCATTTCCTGCAGTTTCCGATCGTCTTTTACCATTTTGCGAGTATTTGGCCTGAATCATTGGGCTAAAAAAATATTAAATGCCAAGTTCTCTTCCTTATAAAAAATAAAAAAATACACTACTACTACTACTACTGCACACGTACATAGAAGCTAAATCGCAATTTTTACAAAGAAACTTAAATATCCTGTTCTAAGATTCGTATCTCTATTTTATATTATTTTATTGAATTACGTCTGACCATTTCGTCCTATTTCTATTGTTACGTTCGTGCATAATTCAATAAATTAATATAAAACAGAAAGCATCGTGCGTCTGTTATTCCCTTACGAAAGGAAAGAAACTTTTCGGACAACCCAATACGTAACTGTGCGTGATTTCAACCGAACGTAACAAATTGCAGACTGAAAATGTTCACGTCTGAAATTGCCAATTTTTGCGCTTCTTTCAGTCTTCGATGCTTAGCGGTGGCGAAATTTTTGTTGGCTTATCGATTAAACGTATAATCTGTTATCGATCAATTTGAAGTTAATCTTTCAACGTGGACTTGATTTTTCAACGTTGATCGGCTGGATGCGAGGTGTCGGTCGACTGTAACATATCATTCGAGATAATACTTAAAAAACGAAATTTCTCGAAATCCAGATAAGAAGGTAGTCACGCTTGCGCAAAAGATAAGTAGGTTTTTTCATTTGCCAGCTAGATAAATGTTTATTTACTTTGCAGCAACAAGTTATCAGGCAGGCTTTTGCGAGCACGTTGTTACCCTTTAAACATTTCCTATACTTACATAGGTATCTGGCGCCATCAAATAGATAATCTTGAACTTGAAGAATCGATCACCTGCGTTTCAAATGCTCTTCAATAATTTTTACGAAATATGAACATCTTCTAAGAACTGAAAACATATCATTTCTATTTGCCAACTTTACATCTGGTATTTCCACTGAATATTTACCACTCGTACGTTGCTTGGTAAAAAGTGACTTCTTCGATAAAAATGTCCTTTAAAGAATCTTCAAATTCGAATCGACATTTATCTTCGACTATGCGAAATCGCGTTACGTGCTCGGATTTATATCGAAATATTCACAAGCCAACGTTATATCCAAGCGTTTACCGATGCAGAAAATTCAGGTTCGTGCTGAAATATTTCAATCGTTTAAATCATTTCTCATTTAAATGGAGAGATTGAAGTAATTGAAAAGTACAGATACTTCGATTTCAATTCAAACATTCAAATATTGTCTACCTATTTATGTATTAGGTTATCCGACAAGTTTCTTTCGTTTCGTAAGATGATAATAGATGAACAAGAATTTCTGTTTTATATTATTTTATTGAATTACGTATGATCCATTTCTATTTCTATTATTACGTTCGTGCATAATTCAATAAACTAATGTAAAACAAAAAATATCGTGCGTCTATTATTTCCTTACAAAACGAAAGAAACTTTACGGACAACCTAATACAAATTCGAAGATCGGAAATATAATATTAATAAATATTATACTATCACATAAAATGAATGTTCAAATTTCAATGTTCGAATTCATTCAAATTCACATCGAAATCGCGTTTAAAATCGTAACGTTATGATTCTCACCCAATTACATACATAGACAAATTCAAACTGAACATTTATACAAACTATGACGATACCAACCAACTAATAAAAATAACGACTTACACGATGCTTCTGACATATATCGATACTGTGGCTTTTCGAGCGCAAAATGCAACAGCATATTCCAAACGCGATTATCCCAGAAACGCAATATCAAAACATATATCCAATATATGTAGATCATCGAGCTTTGTCGCCTCGTCACCACGTTATTTCCACTTTATTTCGTGAATTGTTCTTCCTCGACTTGTTCCTCGGCTAAACCTGTTTCAAAACTACAGTCAAACCGCGATCGATCGAAATTTATTAGGTTGGCAACTAAGTGACAATACAACCTAATGACAAAATCCGCAATCACTTAGTTGCCAACATAATAGAATATTACCAAGGTATTCGCACTAAACGATCGATCAAAGAATCATCCTATATACTTTTTTTCTTTCTTTTTTTCTACCCTCCATCACATCGTTTCGATCGACGAATCTTCCATCGCCTACGTTGAATCGTCTCGTTTGATCACATTAAGCGATTTTCACCGGTGTTTGACTTATGGTGGCCCTATCGTGCGCACAGTGCTCGCTCTTGTGGACGAAACTTTAAACGCGACGAAACGAGAAACGAGTGGAGGTTAGGTCGTGGCGGTCGTCCACGTACATCATTCGTGTCGAATTTATTCGCGCGCTTAAACGCCAACCTGTCCGCTAAACGTGGACGCAAACCGCAAGTTAAATCGGAGTAGAGTTAAACTGGCCGAAAACCCGTTTGGCCCGCGTGATTTACGCGCATGAATCGAGTCACCTGGCCGACGCGTTTGTCAGCGGAATGCCAGGCGTGTGAGACCGGCTTTAATCGCACCTGTTCCTCTCGTCCTGCCATCGAATCGACGAAGACCGGGCCTGTTCTTGTGCCAGCAATTTGTCCGCTAGGTTTCTATAGGCTCGTTATCTTATTAAAATCAGACGCTTGAACCGATTTGGAATTGTTTACAGGTGCAGTACACGTTTACGACGAGAAGTTTCAGGGATGGAAATTCTGATGGCAATTTGTTATATTTATAGAGATATAATTATATTTACATTTAGTTATATAATTATATATTTATACATTGGCAGAAATGTTGGTAGAAATGTTGTATTTTTATTAATTGTAGATAACTATGAAGTACTATGATAGTTAGAAATGTTTATATCTAGATACATATGTACGGTAATTACGTTTATGTACTCGTTTTATAATTACGAATATAATTATGAACGAAACAGAGAATCTCATTTGAAATATATAGTCTGTTTATCTAGCGTGCATATACATTCTTGCATATTTCAATTTGCCGCAGAACGCATCAACATGATCGCGGTAAAATTACATTTAGGTCTGTGCAAGACGATTAAATGGCAAAGAAGCTCGAATGAATTATTTAATTCGTAGAATTAAAAGCAAAGATTAACTGTATATCGAACACACGTGTTGCAAGATCATTTTGATAGCGTTACACTTTTCTTCTTGAGCGTGTAACGTTGTAACGAGATTTGACATAATGGAAACTTTGAATATTTCATAGATTAAAATAGCGATAATATTGCACTTAAATATTACTCAGATATATAGATAAGAGAACGATAGAAGATCGTTCGGTATTTCTACCGAGCTTTTATCACAGGTTTATTCGTCTTAACTTTTTCTTTATACTCCTTCTGCTTTTTTCACATTCTTCCTTCTCTGTCCAACGGAAACGTATTTCTACGATCTCCGCTTATACAACGACGAACGACGAAACTGCACAGGAGAGGAAAATGAGGTTAAAAAGACATCTACGAAATCTTCAGTCTTCTCGGTAATGTTAGAGTCGATCTAACGATTGATCGTCGATAACAGAGCAAAGATGTTTCGCCTGTGTCGTGTTACGGCTCGAATCGACGACGCACGGCGTTGTCGTTGCCGCTCTTAATCTGCTTTCTTGTCGGATGAAAAGAGAACGCTCGAGCGAGATAAAGCCGATCGTACAAGATCACGTTCGTTTGCGCTACTGGAATTTTTATTTTCAAAAGCTCTCGAACGCGCTATTTCCTCATATTTCACCGTTGTTTATTCGTATATCGCAATCGCAGCGTAGTTCTTCCATTCCAGCGTAGTTCTGCATTCGTTCTTTATAAGATTACCGATTGATACTTCGAGGCGAGTTGCTCTTAGTTTGTTTCATTCAATATTTGCTTCTCATCGGTTTCGTTTGCGGTTCCCAGTGAATTTTCGTGGTTGCGGATTTGTGGATTCGTGGAATTAGGACAAGTCGATTTCGCTGAACGATCGTGATGGTACAAATGATCTGTATCGCAAATAATTACGTGTACACTGATCTCGCTGTTAGGTCATTCGAATTGTTTCGATACGCAGATAAAATTTCTAGTTACGTCAGTCGATATAACAGAACCCTTCAACGTTTCAGGTAACTTAACGATACGCTTTAGACACGTCTAATAATATAATCTCCGAATGTCGTCGCTTTCAGATTTTTTAATCGAATAATAATATCTGAAGTTTATCGATATAACGCAAATCGTAATAAGAGTTCGGAAATAATAATAACTGAATTATCGTCGATTTTTAACAAATCACACAATCGATAATTTCAAACGACGAGATACTTAGCGGCTACGAAATTAACATCTATATGAACGTCGTATCGATGTTGTAATATTTCTGTAACGATACTGGACATTATTTTCGACATCATATCGTTCTCGGAAGTTTGCTCCAACGGTAGCCTGCAGAATAGAAAAGACTTAGTAAATAAGGACGATTGTGGTTCAAGTAGCTGATAAGTGTCATCGTAGCAGCCTCGAGGCGTTCTTTGCGGTCGTTCTATCAGCTTCCGGAAGACGCGCGTGGTTCGCGTCTATTTCTATGACGCGATCGTATCGCTCGCTTGCTACAATTTAAAAAATTTACAAACAATAACCCATTATCGAGCCAGATGAAATTGCTATCGGTTAGTTACGCGTATAGAACAGCTGAAAATTCTAACCTACTTCCAAGTACAGCGATGATCTTTGTCTCGTAGAAGAAACTTCTCTTATTCGATATATTTTGGAAAATAATCCTATCTAATATAGTTATATTAGAATCGTTATATGAATGAACGACGTGAAAGTAATGATAAATCCACGAAGACAAATGTATCATCGACGTCTTAAAAGCCAATATCTCGATGGAATTTATTTATTTTGTTTTTTTACGCAGAAAGATTATCACTTCGTAAGCCTAAAAATGTATCGATATCAGATATCGAAGGATTGATACTGTAGTTAGGATAATAAAACAATAGGTTAGGATATATAAGTTCTAAAGAAAATTTGAACAATATAGGAGGGTATAGACAACGTTGTCTCAACTTTAAATCAAGTATCAAGATATTAATATAGATTGCAACTGTCTTACAGTGATTTTCCTTTATGTTTCAGTTACTGTTAAGAACGGACCCACCCAGGAAAATGAGAACGAAGCACCAGCTGATGCTGCATCCTCACCATCTAGTGTAAGTTCAAATTGCATAAAAGTAGTCCAGTCGAGTAATATAAAAGTACCTATTCAACAAACTCCGCTGTCGCCATCTATCACCATAACTTGTCACTTAACGTGTATAGCTATTAATTATCTTTAAATGCTCCGCTATATATTATTTTATTTACTATTCGAGAATCAAACTCGTTTAACAGTCTCCGTACTTGTTTCTGCAGGTTGAACTACCAGAAAGCGCACACCCATGTCCAGCTTGTTCGACCGTTTTGCCCACCTCCAGGGAGTTAACGAACCACCTACGCGGCCATAATTCGCCTCGCAGCACAGACTGTAGCGGCGAGGATGACTATTGCTGCGGCGTGTGCAATAAGGTGCTGAGCTCTGCAAGTTCCCTCGACAGACATGTGTTGGTGCACTCCGGGGAACGGCCGTTCAAATGCAAGTACTGTGAGATGGCGTTCACCACGAACGGCAATATGAACAGGCATTTGAGGACAGCGCACAGAGGCGCCTCGCCTAACAGCTGCACCGACTCCGAGGGTAGCAGCGACTCGGACAAATCATCCAGGCAGCGACATCTCGAGGAATACAACAACAACGAGATCACAAAAAGAAACTCGCCAAATATCGGGGACAAACGGGACGAGGAACAGACCTCGTCGTTAACTGGAAAGAGAAAGTATCCTAACTATGCGAGCGACAACGAAACACAGAAGAGGCACAAGATTCTTCTAAATAGCTCGAGAAGCGAGATGAAATCGAGATCGGACGACAATCAGAACGTTTACAATTGTCCAGTATGCGGGCGACAGGATTTTGCCACTAGCGCCATCTTAGAATCGCATCTGGAACGAAGTCATCCGGAATTCCCCACGAAATGCGACACGTGCAACTTGTCGTTCAAAAACCACAGAGTACTGAATCTGCATCGGTTCATGATACATTTCGCGGAACATTCGTTGGGAAATACCACGAGAAATTTGAGAAACTCGATAGTAGGTTTCAACGATTTAACGTTCGTTGATTTCTCGTCCGATAAGTTCCCAGCAATAGCTAGAGCTGTCTGCGAACAATCGCTTCACCGGCCAGCTTCTGGCGAGGTAGCCAAATTCCAATGCTCCAAATGTCTGCGAGCATTCCCTTGTAGATCCGCGTTGGACGCCCACGAAACTGACTGCGGCACGATGAATATGCAA